TAAAATGGCTTCATCTGATTTATCCATAAAATAGATCTATTACCTCATATGATAGAATAAAATAATTATACCATTTGACCTCAGGACCTATTTTCGACCTATTTAAAATTTATTTTAAACAGTTTATTTATTCTATAATAGCAAATCTATGATAGCACATAGCAAATTTATAATAACAAATAACCCAGATTGTAATCAATTACTATATTTAACAATCCTAGATAATATAAACATATTCCAACTATAGCAAGAACAGGAATTATGGATATATCTAATACAATCCAACTAGTATAAATAGTATCTCTAATTTTAATGCTAAATACTAGCTTAGTTTGCATTAAGAATAGAAAAGCTTAACTTTCATGAAGAAATAAACACAAACTTTCATTACACAATACTTACTGTGTACATATACAATAACTGGAAAACATCCTCCATTCCTGAGGACAGTATCTCGGAAGGGAGTTAAAGTTGCAGTCACACATACGATAAATACATAAGAAAGGTAGAAATTGTTACCAGAGTGAAATCCACACTAGATATATTACATAGAGAAATCCACACCGGAAATATAGCAGAGGACTCGAGAAGATCCACACTTGAAATATAGCAGAGGACTCGAGAAGATCCACACCGGAAATATACAAATGAACAGGAGGCCTAAGAGAAGAGGACTCGAGAAGATCCACATCGGAAATATACATATGAACAGGAGGCAAAATATAGCAGATGACTCGAAAAGATCCACACCGGAAATATACATATGAACAGGAGGCCTAAGAGAAATATACATATGAACAGGAGGCTTAAGAGAAGAAACACGAGGCCTAAGAAAAATATACATATGAACAGGAGGCCTAAGATAAGATCCACACCGGAAATATACATATGAACAGGAGGCCTAAGAGAAATATACATATAAACAGGAGGCTTAAGAGAAGAAACAGGAGGCCTAAGAGAAAAAATATACATATGAATAGGAGGCCTAAGAGAAGGAGGCCTATACATATGAAAAGGAGGCCTAAGAGAAGAAACAGGAGGGCTAAGAGAAACAGGAGGCCAAAGAGAAATATACATATGAAAAGGAGGCTTAAGGAGGCCTAAGAGAAGAAACAGGAGGCCTAAGAGAAACATGAGGCCTAAGAGAAATATACATATGAACAGAAGGCCTAAGAGAAGAGGCCTAAGAGAAATATATATATGAACAGGAGGCAGGAGGCCTAAGAGAAATATACATATGAACAGAAGGCAAGAGAAGAAATATACATATGAACAGGTGGCAAGAGAAATATATATAGAAGAGGCCTAAGAGAAATATATATATGAACAGGAGGCCTAAGAGAGGAGGCAAGAGAAATATACATATGAACAGGAGGTCTAAGAGAAGATATACATATGAACAGAAGGCCTAAGAGAGGAGGAGGCAAGAGAAATATACATATGAACAAGAGGCCTAAGAGAAGATATATATAAGAACAGGAGGCCTAAGAGAGGAGGCAAGAGAAATATACATATGAATAAGAGGCCTGGAGGCCTAAGAGAAAAGTAGAGAACAGAAGAGAAGAGAAGAGACTTTTCGTACAGTAACTCTTTTAACTTTTGTACAGGTAACAATGCTGAAACTTGATATGATTTTTACAGGTGGCTTCTTTACAGCTGTGATATTTTCGAGTCATCCTTGATCCTTCGAGTCATAAGGGCTTTTGGCTAAAGCCTTCCGGGCCTTCACTCTCAGTCAAAGAGTCAAAAGCATCTTCTTCAAAAATCTGGAGGAGTTGTTTTTCTAGCTCTTCTCTAGTTGCCTTAGGATTTTTCTTCCTCATTTGTCTGATATATTCAGCAAAATGATTTGGATTTTAAGTCGTATATTGCTCAAAAGATGGGGATGGACCTGGAATTATCTTTAATTTTATTAACTCAAGTTTCAGATTTTTTGTTTCAAAAACATCCCACCACTTCACAAAAATTCTTTTCCCTAATTTGGGAATGTATTCAAAATTATTATTTGTATTATCAGAAATTCCAGATTCCCATTTCATGATCCATGGAATCTGATAGATTGCCATGAAATATAAATGAAAATCTGTGTTAGCATTACTATTTTCATCTCTGCTATTATGCTCAGCAAATTTATTCTGAGATATTTGCAGAGATTGTGGTAGTATTTGCCATCCGGATCCCCATATGAGGAACCAATATTGAAACCAGCTCGAGAATAACTCAACAACAAGCATTTTGGATTGAACATACCAAGTATGGGAATTATTCATATTTTGGTAGTAAAATATTTTATGTCAAGCGTCAATGTATTCCGAATATTTATAATATTTGTTAGAAAACTCTTGAGCCTGGAACTTTTTTCCTCGAGAGGGTCAAAACTCCAATCTTCATATGGTAATATTATTTTGATTTGTATTTTTTAATATGAAATTAATTTTGTATTATTATTGTGATGAAAATGTATCAAAGAGATAGAACCTGTTTCCAACAAAATGACTTCATACCTTTCACGGGTTTTGTTCCCATTAGAAGAAATCAGGTTATTTATCAGGTAAAGGGTGGCTAACCTATTTGGGTTTGTTGTGATATGCTTGTCATCAATGATAATATCGATGATGACAGCAGTTTCCTCAAATTGAGATTTACCAGAGCTAGATGATTTATTTGGGATAAGAGATGATACATGTATTGGATTCGGACTGGAATATTCTGGGTAATTGAGATACCTAATTGGAGATAAAGGTGGGTAACTGGCTATGGGAGAGCCAGGTGAAGATGAAGATGGAACAATATCCATAGGAAGTTTTCCTTTATTCATATTTGTATTGATATTTATATTGAAAAGTTGCAAAGCTAGTGGTAGCGAGTCAAAGTCAAATTTAGTCTCGAGGTCCCTGCCCCCTGCAAAAATTCACGAGTGAGAAAAATCAGGAAGGGAATTCTTTGTACCAGGTAAATGTTCAATAGAGAAATCAAAAGCTGATAGAATAACTTGCCAACGAGCAAATATTTGTTTAGCTACTAAAATTTTTACATCTTTTAAGAGAATATCTTTAGCAGCTTTACAATCGGTTCGTATAAAAAAAGTAGTATTAAGGACATTAGCTTGAAATTTGGTGACACAATGGACTATTGCAAGGATTTTTTTTTTGATAGTGGAATAATTTTTTTGAGTGGAGTTCCATGTTTTAGCTGTATATCTTACCAATTGTTCAGATTGATTATCAATTTTTTGTTTAAGAATTCCTCAAAGGTCAAATTCAGATGCATCACATTCAATAATTTTAAAGGCATTTAGATATGCTATTGCTAAGCAGGGTAATTCTTTAGCTTTATTTTTAAAGATTTTTACTGCCTGAGTATGTATATGGGTCCATTTTGGTGGGTTTTTCTTTAAGCGATCATAAAGAGGTTTTGCTGTAATAGCTAGATCTTTATAAAAATTTGCTATATAATTAAGGCATCTTAAGAATCGTTGTAATTCAGTTTTATTAAGGATTATGTCCGAAAATTTAGTTGCAAATTCAATAGCTCTATCTGTTGGAATAATAGTACCTTGATATATATTATGTTCTAAAAATCTGATTTTCGTTTGATACAGATTTATCTTTTTTGCTGAGACAACAAGGCCAGCATTTTTTACAGCATTAATGAAGGCATTTATATGTTTAAAATGTTGTTGGATATTTTTTGAGAAAATTAAAACATCATAAATGTAAACTATCATAAATTTCGTATAAGGATTAAATACTTCGTTCATAATTTTAAATTCTAAAAGAGCATTTTTTAAGCCAAATGGCATTACATTCTATTCATACTGTCTAAAGGGGACATTAAAGGTTGTTTTATACCTATCTTTTTCATTTATTTGTATTTGCCAATATCCTGATTTGAGATCGAATTTAGAAAAGATGCAAGCGTTAATTAGTCGATCTAACAAATCTTTTTTATTAGGTAGAGGATATCTTATCCATTTTAAGGCTTTATTCAAAGGTTTATAATTGATTACTAATCTTGGGACACCTCTCTCCTTTTCAGCATTATTTTCAACATAAAAAGCAGCACAACTCCAAGGAGAAGAGCTTTTTCTAATTAAATTCTTTTTTAATAATTCTGCTATTTCTTTTTTACAAAATTCTAATAATGTAGACTTTATTTGGATAGGTCTTGTTTTGGTGGGTATATGTTCTTCGTTAAATCCTTTTTCATAAGGGAGATTAACAATATGTTTTCGTCTGTTCCAGAAAACATTGGGAATGTCACTACAGATCTCTTGTTCAATTTGCATTTTAATTTTTTTTATTCTATTTATGATTTCAAGTAATACTAAACTTTTTTCAATAGTTTTATATTTTACTTCTGTTTTTAGTTGACATAAGAAATTTTCTTTATTTTCAATTAGTTGTTTTAGTAATCATGTAGGGACGACAAGCCTCCACCGGCCGCCGCTTTGTAAAAACACCCTAACGATTAGTAAAATTGGAGGGCCCATGATCCCCACCAAGCCACCCAAAAAAGGTCAAAGACAAAAAGAAAAAAGCACCCAGGAAAATATCTGTAAGTTGAATTCCATTATTGAAGTGGAAATTGATGTCTTTTATTTTGACCAATTAAGTGGAATTCCATTATTAAGTCCCTTGTGAGACCTCTGCAAATTCCATAGGATAGGAATTGGCTCTTCCTCTTTCATATTAACAATGGAAACCATGGAACAACCATTCGAAGGATACCCTCCAATGCTCCGCATCCACAAAGACGGCACTGTCGAGCGTCTCACAGGCACCCAAATCGTGCCGCCATCTCCTCTCTCCGACGCCGGAGTCTCCTCCAAAGACGTCGTCATCTCTCCCAATGTCTCCGCCCGTCTCTACATCCCTCACTCCCCCCTTTCCTCCACCAAAAAACTCCCCACCCTTGTCTACTTCCATGGAGGAGGTTTCATCATAGAGTCCCCCTTCTCGCCTCACTACCATCCTTACCAGGATGCCCTCGCGGCAAAGGCAGGCGTGATCATCGTCTCGGTGAACTACCGTCTCGCCCCCGAGCACCAGCTCCCAGCTGCCTACGACGACTCATGGGAAGCTATCAAGTGGACCGTTGGTCTGTCCGACGAGTGGCTGAGGGATCACGCCGACCTCGACCGCTTGTTCTTAGCTGGGGACAGCTCCGGCGGCAATATTGTGCATCAGATGGCGATGAGGGCAGGTGAGACCGCATCATCAGAGGTAAGATTGCGCGGGGTAGTATTAGTCCATCCATTTTTCTGGGGACCAAATTTGAGTGATACAGAGAACGAACAGAGCGGGTTTGTGGAGAAGTTGTGGAAGCTGTTTAGCCCAGATGTTGGTGCTATGCAGAGTCACTGGGTCAATTGGGAGGCAGAGGGGGCGACGCCGTTGACGAAGCTTGGTTGTCGAAGGGTGATGGTGTGCGTTGCAGAGCTGGATTTTATAAAGAAGAAGGGAAAGGAGTATTATGAGGCATTAAAGGAGAGCGGGTGGGAGGGGAAGGTGGAGCTTGTGGAGACTGAAGGGGAGAATCATGTGTTTCATTTGTTTAAGCCGGACTGTGAGAAAGCCAGGGTGTTCATGGAGCAGGTCGTCTCGTTCCTTAATCAGGTCTAGTTGTGAGCCATCTTGCTCTCTCTCTCTCTCTACTGGGTTTGTTTCTTTTCAAGTTTGCCTACTGCCTCTCTTTCTCTCTCTAAATAAGATATCTACTGAGTTTGTTTCTTTTTCTCTCTCTTTTGTAAATTATACCATTTGATGCAGTGCAGAGATGCACCCCTCTGGCTCACTATGATTTTCTGAATACACTTTCCATTCCCAGATGTCTGATTCATTTGAAAAAGTAATGCATCCATCATCAATTTGTGATGAATCACGCTTCATGTTCAGTCATCTTAAGTTCCTACTGCAATTATAAATGGCGAGACAAAAAATGTCCTCACAGATAAAACCGCCAGACCTTTGTCCTGTCGGAAAGCCCTTTCCTGGGCCATTGGCGAGTTTGTTTCCAGGAAGATCATTTCATCACCTTGGAAATCTTTTTCGTAGCTCGGTTGGTATGAATGATTTCTTAAAAAAAAACAAAATACATTCGGTTTGTGGGGAAGTCAGCGAACACGCTTTCTGAAGGTCTACGATTTTTCATGAAATAAATATAGTATGGCAATTAAGCAATGTTTTGAGCCTCGGCCAAAACTTGGCCTCCTCCTAAGAGCAAGGCGAGTCACGCCGGGTAATGCCACCTAAGACCTTTCCAGACGCATTTGTGTATAGTTTATATGAAAGGGAAATGCCACCTGAGATCTTTCCACACGCATTTGTGTAGAATTTCAAAAGATCACTATTAAATTTGGGACAGATCTCAAGAAAAATTATCACATGCTAAACTTAATAACGATCTTTTGAGATCCTACACATAGATGTGGGAGGGTCTCATAGGATCGTTACTATTATATAAATCATTGCGTAGGTTTCAAGTTAAAAGTTATACCAATACTTTTTGGATAATGATCACACACATTGCACGTCACAACCCGGATTTGAATCCCGATTTAACGCGGCTTCATTATCATCATCTTTTTTTAAAGTGTTAATGTAAACTGTGTGTGGTTTCTATAAGGTTGCAACATTAAACAATCCAATTAAGGTTCACCTCCAAATTTTCTCATAAGATATAATTTTATTCTAAAAAAATGTTAGGATTATCTTAAAATCTATTTTCATATCTAATTAGAAAATTTTAAGCTCTAAAAATGGTTAAAATCAATGAGATCTATAAACATATGAAAATCTTGAATATGGACGGTCTAGATAATGTGTTGCAAGATGTACTATTTTGAGACTAAAAAGCTTTTTTTTCATATATATTCATACATCTTAATGTCGAGATGATCAAATAGAGGGTTTTCCAACATTAAAACAACCTTTCTGATAGATTTTTTTAGATGCATTTGTAATTCTACATTTTAAGGATGCAACCTTATATAAACTTTTCCTATGTAAAAAAGAGGCAGGTTATATTATATGTACTTGACCTTTTTTTGTTTTTTTTTTTAAATTTGGATTGAACTCGCCTTGGTCAAGGTCTGAGTACCTTGCCCGAGTCGTATTCCAAAACACTGCAAATATGTTATTTGACATGAAAAAACTCTCAAAAAATTCTTCCCAAAGAAATTTTTTCATACCAAAGTTATTATGAATTAATTTCTCAACGGAATAAGTTTTGAGTATACCTCAAGTGTGGGTTGAAGTCATTTTTTACTCTCTTAGGGCTAGAGCTATGTTGAGTAGGTTACCATTCAAAATTTTGGGGTCTAAAAAGTGCATGTACCTTGGTTGTTGCCCCAAGTGAACCCTGGCCATGGAAAATTTTCGCCTGAGCCACAAATTGTTAGTCAAACGCCAAGCCGCTTCTCCCTAACTCTTACAAGTTGTTCCGCAATTAAAACAGGGGTAATTATATAAGAGTGCGGTTTGTATAGAGCTCTAAACAATCAAAGTAAATCGTACCTTCAAATAGTATTGAGAAATTTGATTTTAATAATGGAAATTATATTTTTATTATTAATTATAAAATCTAAAGCTTCAAAAATAGTGTTATTCGAACAAATCTATGAAAACTTGAAAACCATGAAAATTGATGGTTTTAAAATGCATTACAAAATATATTATTTGAAAAATGAAATCAATTTTTTTTTCTCATGTTCATGCATCTTGATGATGAGATGATCAAGTTGAGGATATTTGAGTATCAAAACAACCTCTTCCAATAAAATTTTTGAAGTGGGCTAAAATTTAATTGTTTAGAGAGCGTCGGCTCTATATAAACTTTTTCCATTATATAGTGAGACCAAAACTTTTAATCTCACATTGCACTAAGGGGGTGAGTAAGGCTACATAAATAAGAACGACTAGAACAAGAGAGCATCCTTTTACTTGATAAATATATAATTATAAATTTAAAATATATATTTAATACAATACAATACAATTTTTTTATACAACACACACAAACACATTAACCTTCTCTCACCTTCTTTGGTCCACGTAAAAAGATGGAGATACTCTATACAAACTTCACTTCCCACTCTTAATTGTAAATGTGGGACAAAAACGAACTTTATCCCTCTAAAATACTAAGAATAGCTTCTAAAAAATCATACGCATGACTTATCTATACTATATTATATTTTAAATAGGTGAGAGATTTTAGAATAGGTGTGTAAGAGATGTACGTGAGAGATTTTCGGATAGGTGTGTGAGAGAGATAGGTGAGGGATAAAGATAGACATGTAGGAGGGAGAGAGAGGAAAAGGTATCCAGGATAGATTTTGGAGGAGAGAGGTACAGAACCTTTCATTTTGAATGGAAGGTTAAGATTGTTTCAATCATAATATCACGTTTTTAAATTATTTTATTTTTAAATTTTTTTTATAAACTACTATTTTATTTTTAAATTTTACATGTCTATTCCTTTATTAAACTCGCACTAGCGAAAAAATATAAAAAATATATTTTCAATATAATAAAATGACCAAAATAACTTTAAAAGTTTCAAGGGGTATTTTGGTCATTATATTTTATTTTTTTATAAGTACGCTACAATGAAAAGATGGCACATACCAAATTTCGTATTCGTACAATTTGTATAAAGAAACTAAAAATAAAATACTTTGAGACATCAGATCTAAGATCAAACGGTGAGCGACTCTTGATCAAAATTGGACAGTTGGATGGTAATAGGAGGATAGAACTTCTATGCTATAGGGGAAGCATAGAAACCTTTCCGGATAGGGATATAGTGGAGAGATCCTAGAATAGGACGAAGTTTTTATAAGGCCTAGAAAATAAAATAAAGCTTCACCTCAAATCTTAATCTGAAACGCACTTCCGGCAATAGAAATCTTCAAGATGGCTCTAAAATCAATTTCTAACACCGACAATAAATTTTGAAATTAACAAATGTTATAAACCTTGCGGATCTATAAACACTTATTTTTAGGAAAAGATGCACGGTCTAGATTATTTATTATAATATACACCATTTTTACAGTTTAAAATTCTACTTTTTTTTTTCATAGCCATAATGTTCAGGTCGAGATGATTGATATAAAGGTTTTTCAATGTTTGAATTACAATTTTCGATTAGCTATGAAATGAGGGTTTGCTTAATTTGATGGGCCACAGTCATATTTTCCTTTAGAATAAGTGTGAGAGATACGTGTAAAAAAGAGAGACACGAGGGAGAGTGGAGATGAAAAGATGCATAGGAAAAGATATGTACGATAATTTGAGGAAGGAAAAAGTTTGCATAAGGATGCAACGGAGAACTACCGATGCAACTCAAAAATCTATCGAAAAAGGCAGTTTTACGGT